CGTTTCCGCGCTGGAAACGTGCCTAACCTCTTGCGCCGGAGGATTTTTTGTCCCAAATTGCAACGTTTCCTCAGTTCTAAGTGTATTTAACATTTAACCACGTTGCGCTGGCAACTGATTGCGGACCATAACGAGCGACCAAACCGCACACGATAATTCGTCGCTTTCCTTTCGAATTCGTCGGTATGATATCACTGGATAGAAATTATTGAGAAGTAATAAATTTATTACTTGTTTTGCCCATTTTGTTTTACTCGAATGTACTTGAAACACTGAGAAAATATTGCAATTTTGGGACGAGAAATGAGAAATTCCCGACGTGCGTATTATTATTCCAGCGCAAGAGGTTAAATGTAACCGAGGCAAAACGAATAATCAGTTCATTGCTTCTTAATAGTTTCTATCCAGCGGTATCATACCGACGAGTTCAAAAAGAAAGCGACGAATTGTTGTATACGGGTTCGGTCACTCGTTATGGTCCGCGAACCAGTTGCCAGCGCAAGGGGCTAAAGCGAGACGAAGGAGCCGAGATTCTTCTCAGCTCGAGGCTGAGACAGACAGACCGAACCTGCGCGTCTTCTGACTTTCGTCGCTTTTGTCTCTATCTCTCAGAGAGAATACCTTCTTTGTCCTCTTCCTGCAATTTCAGCTGACGTTCAACCATATGCCTATATATCCAGCAGACAACGAAACAGGCTGAAAGGGTCCTTTGTCACATTCTAAACAGTTCCTTTCGCGAATCTTGATGCCGCACGGAATTATCATCCACTTGCTTTCTACGATCACAGTTACAGCTACACTTACAGCGGTAAGAGATAAGAGACGGCGCTTAAAGGCACGCTTCACCACCGTAAGAAAGTTTGTACTCTTACTTCCTGAATATTTCTGGAACCTTGTTGGAGCTTGTTTGATCTCAAATATCTGGTATGGTAAAGTATATATGTATATATGATTATACAATTTCGACGTTTATTCGAAAGCGTTGTTGAAACTTCGTTTCGACTCGTCCGTCTTGAATAGAATTGACCCGAGTGTCATTTATATTCTTCAAATAGCACCTTTATTCCTCTTAAGCATCTCGCAGTTCCTAGAAGATTCAAGGATGCTTCGTGTCTGTTTTATGTTTCTCCTTCAATGTGAATTTTATGTACTGTTTAGGCTTAATAAGTATTAGCTCAGTGCTAACAGACCTCTGAAAGTTATTCATAGGACAAATTTCAGTAGTTGGTAATTATAAAAAGACGTGCTGCGAAGAAAAGAACATTCTTGATCATGGTTAAAACGTGAACAAACTCTCTCAAACCTACGCGAAATCCAACAGTACCATCGACTTTCTTCGACATGTCCACCAGATTGTTGAGTCGTTCGATTTGTTGGATTCCGCGTACAGGAATAACAACTTATAGGTTTGAGAGAGTTTGTTCACGTTTTTAACCGTGGTCAAAACTGTTCTTTTCTTCCTAGCACGTCTTTTTATAATTACCAACTACTGCCCAAATTTTCCCTATGAACAACAACGACACTTTTACTTTTAAGAAGTTAAGGTTCTACAAACAATTGCAAAGGTCTGCTTGATAGAAAAGAGTGTGTTCTTCTCTTCTCGGCACGTTTTTCCATATTTTTGTCTATGTGATATCGAAGCGTGGACGTTGGCCATCCAACAGACAATGAAATCGAACAGAAAAAAAACTTTTCTAGCGAAAAAAGAGTATCTTTGAGAGATAGTCGCGCTGACTGATTTCTTCGCACACGGTTGCTTGCCTCTGCACTCGTGTGGGACACACACAATCGATGCATCAATCGTGTGCACAAGCTTGGCTACAATCTGGGCTAAAATTAACCCGACCGAAGGGTGAAGGTCAATTCTTTTTCAGTTTGCAACTGGTCGGACTTTTCCATGGAGGGAGAATCGAACCGGATTCACCCTCGTATTCACACCCTGTGAGTGTGTTAACGTTCGAATCGTCTGGGAAACTTTTCCTTTTCCCTCGCTGTTAATCGCGTCGTAGTCTTTGCTATTGGCTCTTTCTTCCTCTCACTGGTGACGTAACCATTGCGACACAACGCAGTTGTATGTCTGAAAGCCTGCTTATGTCATGCACTCGTCGATCAACTGTTGCCATCTGCTCGAAACTGCACCGCTCGTTGCGTCACTAGATCTTATAGTTTCATTATGTTTATATTTATTTCATCAGGATGAGAATAGGAACGCTCGGCACGGAAGGTTATTTTCAACGTTTTGTTCCTTCTATCGACTCGTACGTTTATCGACTCCACTTTAATATAGTTCTGTGAAATTCTTTCTATCGCTTATGATAAATAATAAAATCTAATATAATTCTAATGTAATAAAAATCTGAATAAAATAAAATTCAGACCAGCTTTCTCTAAAGAGTTTTATTTAGTTTCATTTAGTTTCTTTAGTGATTAATCAACCATTATTATTCCATTTTTTACTGCTCTATTATGTGCATGACAATTCACTTTTGAAAGGAATTCATTTGTTATTTACGACGCTAGCGAAAATAGCAACGGCAAAGTGGCAAAGCGATGGATGAAAAATTAACGAAAGAGGGAACCGAAATCGATGCGCGATTTCTCGTTAAAGAGCACGCGAGGCAACAAACTTTGCGGATATAAAAGCGAGTACACGATATGTAACGCGCCTCATTTGTCAGCGATGCGCGAGAAATTAATGAGCCGGGAAAAAATGGAAGAAAATAACATCGACGAATAAATTTGCAGTTGCACTCGGTTTGATTGGTTCAACGAAGGACGAGGTAGACAAAGAATGGCCAGTCAAAATTTCCGGTGGAAAAATATGCGAAACCTGTGAAAGAAAACCAGGATTGCACGGTCGACGAATATTTTAAATAACATCGTACTGTAAAAAATCACAAGTTGCAAGCGATAGAAAAGTAATTCTTTTTTTCAACGTTAAAATGTCATTTAATATCGAATAGAGTGAAGACACAATTTTAGATCCACAATGCTCTGTCGCAATTTTCGGGGAATTTTGGGAAATGGTGGAATTTTTATTGCTCGCAGTCGTAGGACATGTGACACGTGTATGACTAATTCCTAACAACGTGACAGCGACGAGCGTTCACGGCTGAGAAAATGAACTTTCGCGAATATATGAGCTTTCACTTTGTCGGAAGACCGTTCTCGAATTCACAGGAAAATCGAGGCAGTGAAATCACATTTGGGACGAATTTGAATTGAAAGGATATTTCTGTTCTTCTTCGGTCACTGACTGGGCGAGTAGCGAAATACTCGATGGTTTCATCGTCCTTCTCGACGAAACTCAATGAAAAGAGAATGGAGATTTGCAACAGCATTGTTTTCAACTTTCGAAAGATAGCGATTGTAGAAATTATTCAGATTAATATATACGCGCAGTGAATTACGTATGGTCATAAATCACTTTACACGCTCCTTTTTGATCTTCGCTCAGACACACCTATTATCCACTGTGACAGATAAACAATTACAATACACTGATGAAAATTAATCCAGGTGCACACACGTGCTACAAGTTATTTAGAAAGAAGAAGCAGACCGCAATTTGGTGAAATTTTCATTCGACGTTTAAATTTCATTTCTTGAAATCGAACGTTAACAAGCACAAACAAACAAATAAACGTCTCAACTGAAATAATGTTACAGCAAGCAATGCTCGTCTACGAATGCGAGAAGATGCAATCTGCAAATTTATTACAGATTAGATTAAGTAGCGAGAGATAAATAACTCCGGAGGCAATTACATTCTGCCACGATCGTCGATAACGTCGACCCTAGCCACAGGATCCTGTATTTTATCCTGCGAGAAACATCGGGCACTCGTGCCCAAGCTGTATTTAATGTCACGACAGGTGAAGAAAAGAGCTTCGAGCGAATCGTTTGTGAAGAAGTTGAAAAGCGCAGAGGCGTAGAGAGCAAAAGACAGAGAGAGAGAGAGAGAGAGAAAGAGAAAAAAGTCCTGGCAGAGTGGAAACGTCGGAGAACGATCCGCCGATAACGAAAGAAACCAATAAATCTGTTCGAACGCCGTAACAATGGAAACAATTTCGAGGCGAACTCGCGGCCGAACACTTGCAAACCGCGCTCCTTTAGAAATGGAGATTAATAGAGAGCACGCAAGCTCGGTAGAGAACAGCACCGAGTTGCGATACACTTTCAACAACCAGGCTACTTAGTATGTAGTTTCGTCTGGCAGTTGCTAGATCGCTTTCCAACCGAGCCGATACACGATCGATTTCAGAAGTTTCCCTTGTACAGGCTTCCACTAGGAATTTACTAGAATCATTTACCACACAGGTGGGAGTCTTGTTGAACTCCAAAGAATAAATACGCGATAATAAATACGCACTAGTTTAGTAGGATCGCCAGAGATTGTGTTGTAAGTATCGACTGATCGGAAGAACATAATTAACGTAGAAATCTCGTCTAAGTCCAAAAATCAAGATCTACGCGTAGGAAATTGTACTCAGAAAGAGCGGTTCCTTTTATTTTTTCGGTCACGTTCTTGCACAGAATGGAAGGAAAAGTTTGTCGAGATGAAAATAGATGCAGCCGCAAAATTGACTTTCATTGTCAAAAAAATTTCTTTTTTTCTCTTGCATTGTATTCTACTCGTCACGATGGTAAAACTTTCTCTGATCATTGAACATTGCAGACGCGTGCGAACAGCGACTTTATTTTTACGTAATTTTCGTATCAGGTTTCACCAACGTTTGATTTGCCATAGTTGTAGCTAAGTCTAAATAATCAAACGATAAACTTAACTGTTAATATCATTCGAAATATAAATATCATGTAATGTAGACACCGTAAAGTCGCTGTTAGAACGCACGCGAAATGATTGAGAAACTTTTTCGCCATTTTCCAAAGGAACCGTTAGGTTACGATTTATGGAAAATTTCACTAAACTCTCGCTTGCCTACCAAATTCTCGCTTCCTAGCCAAACACTTACGTTTGATTATTTTCTCTTCAACAGGTACATCATCACGTCCCTGTGCGACAGCTGCAAGAGCAGCGACTCGGTGGTGGCGCTGGTGTTTTGGGTGGGTTACTTCAACAGCGCGCTGAACCCGCTCATCTACGCGTACTTCAACAGGGACTTCCGGGCGGCGTTCAGAAAGACGCTGGAGAGCTGCTGCGTGGCGCTCGGCCCGGTCCGCGATCTTCGCCAAGCGCACCGAAAGCAGGACCTCGTGCACAGCAACGCGTCCTCGGAGTTGCACGTGAACAATCAGCTGAGAGCCAGCGAGATGACCAACGTCCACATCGAGGCGTGCATTTGAGTTTCGAACAGTGGCCCCTCGTCCAACATTGGCGCCTCCGTGTCCTTTTCAACTCAAGAGGACTGTTTCTAAGAGGATATTCTTTCACCGCGGACCTTCGAAATGTCGAGCGTTCTGATCGTCAAAACTTTCAATCCGTGATCGCCTGAGCCTCCTTCTGTTTTAAGTTTTTTATTTCTCGATCGGAAATCAATCGACAGCCAATTAACAATGAGAACGCGAGACTCGACTCGTGAGGATTGTCTCGATGGCTAATTAACGAGTGGAACAGCGCGGAAGACCATTCCTCGATCGCCAATTAATGGCCGAAGCGCAACAGTTGAACGTGGTGATTCTGACCCGTAAGCGTAATTCAAATTTCGTTCTTTGATCCGTCGACCAAAGCGGCGAGGAGAGCGCGAGCTTGGATCACTTTTTAGTGCGAAACCAAGGGACACAACTCGTTTCGGAAATATGTTTCTGTAATATGTGTGTACGAGCGAGTTGTCCTTCAAAAGCGTGAAATGTTGCCGAGGGATTTACACCTAGGAATTGACTGCTATCCTTTGCCTGGCTTTTCGGCTTTAGTTTAGGTCAGGCTTCACAGTGTCGCGGACATGAACGAGATTGGACGCGAATTCGCACTTTGATTGGGAAAAGATTTCTTTTATCCGGCAAATATGTATTCCAAACGATACGTACATACTTTTGTACGCCACATACTTTTGTATTTATAAAAATCCGCTGACTAATTACGAATATTTGAAACGCGTTACTACATCGTTTCTCCTTCAAAATACCAACATTCGAAACAGCGACCGCAAGCTTCTACAGCAAGCTTCGTTAAAGAAATTTGAAGAAAACTGAGGAGACGTGCTCGCGATTCTTTTGACATATGTACAGGGTGGAAAGAAAAGTTCTATCATAGAGTGAATTCTTTTGACATATGTACAGGGTGGAAAGAAAAGTTCTATCATAGAGTGAATTTTACACCTCGTATTTCGACCATGAATTTCAAGGAATCTCGAGAAATTTGTTTTTCAGCCTACTCACCACGAAGATAAAATTTTTCCAAGGAACCTAACAGTTTTCTTGAAAAATGCTTCTCAATCATTTAACACTGTGGACGCGTGCGTTCTAACAGCGACTTTATGTTTCTGAACGCGTGAATGTAACGTTTACATTTCGATAATGTTAATATCAAATTAACATTATCATTTGATTATTTAGACTCACACTAATGCCACTACAATTTGATAGATGAAATGTTAATGAAATCATAGTTCCAGAACCGTAAAGTCGCTGTTAGAACGCACGCGGCTGCGGCAAGTTGATGCCGCCAGGTAACGCGTTATTAAAAGAGAGGTTTATTGCCCGAAGCAGCGCGCGCCCCGAAAGGAAATTTTCAACGCGGTCAACCTATTTTAAGCCTGGTTGCCTACCTGCCAGCCTCTGTCATCTATTTCCACTGCGTGGCGTTTTATCAAGTCCGTAAATAAGGCGGCCAGCCGGCCCTCCAACGGACGGATGATCCGATTTGAGTAACAGTTTAAGATTGGCCCGATAACGTTCGACTCTTTCCACTTTCTCGGACGCGGAATATTCAATTACACGCTCTGTTCTACCAGCACGTAAAGTAATCCCGTGTTCGTAGATGCGCAATGAAAAATTCAGAAACTAAAGAAGCGTGCTTTTCTGTTTTTCCTTTTTTTTTTTTTTTTTTTTTTTTTTTGGTAGCACTTTCTGTTCTTAACCTTTTCCAACTTTTAAACTATCAGTTGTTCAACTATTCAGTTGTTCCCGTTGAGCCGGATAAAAAAAGCTGCGCGCACGGCATTCCTCGAAGGATGCGAGGCGAAAAAAGAACAAAGGGCAACCAAGAGGAACGAATTGCAAGTGAAACTAGATTTCGGGATGCGCGCGATGCGTTTAATTAAAATCTGATTAAATGGAGAGCTTGTCCAATCGAAAGAAACGAGGCTTGCCGAGCGGCTCTGACGATGCGAATCCCTCCGTGTCGCTCCCGTGACGAGTTTATTAAAGTCAGACCAGAAGTAGAAAGTCGGGACCGAGGAAAGTAGTATAGCTCGTAAAAGAGAGAGAGAGAGAGAGAGAGCTGTGTAAAGTGAGCACAGACGGGATTGTGGTCGGCGAACATGAAAATTATCTCGAGTGTGAAAACGCTCGGCGCTACGGGCTTGATGTTGACACGAGGAATTAAAGGATAAACGCGGCAAACGCGAGAGGAACACTGCCGGATTACTTGGCGGAGACCGGGCGAACAGCCGTGCATTTGAACCAACTTCAATGTAAGAAATCAAAGCTCTCCTCCGTTGTACAGTGAAAGCAAAAAAGTGGCAACAGAAAAATGAAGGAACGAACGTTTCGGTGAAAACTATCGGTAATTTCAGCGAGCTTATTTCGTCGTCGACAAGTGGATAAGTAAATGAAATTTGTCTCCAAGCGTTCAACTTTGTAAAACGCGCTTTCAACCCTTTGCAACTCCAACTTTTTCTCAAGTGTTATTTTACGACAACTTCGACTATTTTGGAGTTTCCTTTTGTTGCTCTTTTTTATGTAGTTTGCATATTCAGTATAACATCGACGAATATATTTTTTGCAAATAATGTTCTCTGTCGAATCATTTGTATAAAATAAACAAAAGCATTCGAAAAGGGTTCGCTCAGAATTAAACCGTCGCAGGAACGCTGCAGTCCTTCGTGGAATTCTCACTATGTATAATATTACTTTCCTCACGATCACTGGATTCCTTGCTTTTCTATGTTTCGGTAGAATAACTGTCACCAGAATCAACGCTCAATGTCTCGAAACAATCACTACTTTTATATCGATCAAAAACAAACTCATCGTCATTATCTTCAAATAAATCTTTCTGTTCTATTTTTTTGACACGACGACTGATTGTCCAATGAAATTGATTGACAATATTTTTGTCTCTTCCTGCTACTAAATATTGTGGAGTGCAAAGGGTTAAAATACGTCACCGACACACGTAGACATCCGACTCTGTCGATTCATTGATTTTCTCAATATCCACTCGCGCGTTTCGAAATCGTCAATTACGGTTGATCCGCGCGTTACAGTTTCTTCTAAATCGCGAGCTACCGAATCGGATCGGCGTTACTATGCCACCGGGATACGACGATTACACTGTCAATTTAATACGAGTACACGCGTAAACGGGTGTTACGGCCAAATCCGTGCACACCGTTTCAAAGGAAATGGGATACAACGTCCGGGAACGACGGTCGTTCGAATAATAGAATGTACGGATAACAGGGTGTTTGAACTGCGCGGCGTTTGGATAATGGAGGTTTTACCTCCCGTCGTGTGCACGAAATTCAAATTGTTTTGCCCCGAGCCAAGTCAGGCAGAGAGCTCTCCATAGAGACCGGCCATCGGAATTTCTGGAAAATTTACGGTGTTTCTATCGAGAAACGGACGACTGATTCCGTTAATGAAAACAACAGGCGTTTATTCACAATTATTCACAGCGAGAGAGTGAATTTGATGTTGATGAAGAAGAAGAAGAAGAAGAAGAAGAAGATGAATGATTTCATATCTGTCGGAATGTTTGTCATTTAACGAGTAAATCGTAAATGTTAAAAATGTTCGCGAAAGAAATGTTTAAACATTTTTTCTGTTCTATTTTACTCATCACGAAGATCAAACTTCTTCAATGGCGAAAAATTTCTTTCTGTCACTTAATACATTGCGAACGTGTGCCTGCTGTCAGACAATCGTCTAATTGTAAGCCAGAGTTGGCTAACTGGCGACTCGGGAGCCTTGCTTCTACCCCCTCCACTGCACCGATTTCTTCACTTGCTTAGTATAGACTGAGAGAGTGGGGGGAATCATCGTTGAAGTGGAAGGGGTAACGCTAGCGACCAGAAAGTAGAGGCAAGGACCAGCGGGCCGCCAGTTAGTCTAAGCAATTTTATCCAGACGCGTGGATCATTCAAGTTTCACTCGACAAATGTTGATTTACGGAGAATGCGAAGTTACAATCTCTTATCTCATACCGCTAACAATAAACTAACCACCGTTCGACGACAGAGTAAACTGCAAGTCACAAAATACCATACTCGTTTCGAACCGCAGGCACAAACGTGGAACGATAAAACGTTCCTTAATTGGCGAGTTTTCAAAGGTTGCAAAGTACACACGGACAAAGACTTTGATTATTATTATTATAAAAATATATAATTTCAGGAACGTTTGAAAGAAAGTTGCAAAGGTCGTTTTCAAGAAATATTTCGCAAACAACGGCGATAGAATGCCAGCTACCGGATAGGGATTTACATCGAATCCCGGGGAACGAACGGATTCGATAAATTTTTCACGGAACATCAGTTGTTGTTTCGCGAGCAACATAGTTGCTGTGGCGATGGATCATGCAGCGGTGTTTGGCGTCTGCGGTGAAAAAGTTTCTTGTGTACCTAAGTTCCGACGATCCCTCACGGCTTCGCCTTATCGCGAAAGGTACAACATGCAAACGCACAGGAGTTGCAAACATTTTATCATCCCTCGTCCTCATGTTCTTTCACTCGGGAACAATCTTCCCGCGTTGTTCCGAGAAATATTTCATCCCTTTAATGTTATTACAATGTATCAAGAAAGACTCAACGGGGCCATGGTTTTTCTTTTATACTCTACGTATCTTCCAGGTATTTCGTTTCTTGGCTATGCAACGTTACGATTCTATTTCTTTCCAGAAGAAATTTTTCATTCGCGCGAAGCGTTTAGGAAGATCGTGGGTGAAAAATTTGCTCGTCGAGTTTGCTTTCCGAACGCTGAAACGTTAAAATTTTTAACGCGATTACCAGCTTCGTTGAAAGCATTGTCTCTTGGCGTTTCGCTTTCGCTATTCGCAGAATCGGTGCTCAACGAGGGAGGATCTGGAAATATTTTGCGAACGTTGGCGCGACGCATTAAGGAGATTATCAAACGGTCTCAATGGAATCGATAACCACTGGCGAACGTTCGTCGGCAAAAATTCTGCATATCGCGCGGAGCGAATCAGAAAATGAAATTGAAGTTTCGATGTTCGTTGCATGCCTCGGAGAGAGAATGCCTGAGAGAAATTACTATGCAAACACTACGGATACAGCGAAAAGAGTCTCCAATGTTTCTACACCGTCCTCTGTCCGACTGTTAGGCGAATTTCGCCGCGTTCGACTCGAGCTTTGTCGAATTAATGGAGTGCAACGCTGGTTCGCGATCTCGAACTTTGATACTTCGGATATCCGATTCGTTTTCGCCCGATTTGATTAAACAACACTCGGTGATCATTTTTGCGATGATATTAGTTTCCATTAAGGTATCGTATCGTCAAAAGATTTTTCTTGTTCCGATGTAAAGCAAAGAAGACAGGTTTTAAGCAAAATTTTTTGGACTTTGTTTTCTTCTACAAACTCTGTGTTTACGTTAATCTACATGTACGAATAAATTTTAATTATACTGTCCAAGATATTTCGTGTCCACGAAAAGTCTCAGAGCTTCATCACGTTCAATCGATGTAAAGTATTATTAATAATTAGACGATGCTTCATCTGTCAAAACATGAAACTCCTAAGGAAGCCTCGAAATCCCACAAGTCGATTTCCAAAAATTGCCAGCTACTCGTATTTCGTTCTCCATTTTTGTTTTTTTTTTTTATTCTTACAACGAAGACTATTATAGCTCTTTAGATTGAGTAATAAAAACGTTGTCGCAGGGCTAAAGTTATCAACTTTAGTAAAATCTTCTTTTAGTAAAAAGTACAAATTTGCTAAAAAAAATTTTATCAACTTTGAATTGTCCGAAATTTCGACCGAAATTATCAGAATTCCACGATCTTTCCTTGAACTTTCAAGCGCCAAAGTTTTGCTCAATAGTGGCGCAATAGCGGCTGGAATTTTTTAACTGCACGGAAAGACGATCGAACTCTTTACTCAATCTAATAAATATCGAACCACTACGTGGAGATCACTA